TCTAAGTCTTCTATATTTTTTACAGATTTGGCAGGTTTTTTATTCCATTTTTCAATTTTCATTTTATTTTTAAATGTCTTGAATTCAAAAGATGTGGTGTAACTTCATCAAGTTTTGTTATACAAGACGGCTGTTGATGCAGGATGCAGTCTTTGACCTGTAGCATTGTGAAAAGTGGCGCTTACCTGTTTCCTAACCATATATTACAAATGATGTCACACAAGACTTTGAAAAAAATATGTCAAATTATGTTTGGAGATTTTCTGAAGCCCTGCTATAAATAATGTCAAATTTTGTGTTGTTACGTGGCAGTACAAGCAAGCATTTCGGCCCCAGGTCTGTTTGATTTGGTGTTCAGACGACACTAAGCATAAGTTAGGTCCAACTGAATCACCCCTCAAACAAGACATTAAAGCCATCAATCTCTCTTCCGACTGGCCAGCAAGTAAGGTCAAACCCCAGCACTGAAGGTCATTCTCACACAGAGAGTTGCAGAACATGTGATAGATATACTAGCAAATGTATTCTCACATCTACCAAAGTCTTATCCTGGCAGCCATCTTAACTTTGATGACCATGGTCAGAGAGTCGATCACTGGTGCAAGGTCATCTTTGTAACGGTAGGGGCCAGTCACTGTACTTCATCACACCCCTGTAGGGTTGTCAGGAACCCAAGGGTGATAAACACTTTTCTCACAGAAAATCCATGGCCAGCACATGGCTTTGATAAGGACTGCATGCATCACTTGTCCTCAAGACCTCAATGATTGTCACATGGCCCCTGTTGTCACAGAGACGCTGAAACCTTAAACAGTGACATTCACTCTTTTGGCACTTTCCCATGAAGACTGGGGCCAGATGGCCCTGTTAGATTGGTCGTCTAGTGTTTTTAAGAGAGTTGATGCTGCCCTTGTTACTTGTGTTAATCACAGCTAATTTTACTTTTCAAATCTCTGATAAACTTGACTGGGAACAAGCAGTGTCCTTTGACACAAGGCTGTTTTGATCTTCTAATCTACACTGTGTGGGATGACATCAGCGTCTACACACATTTCTCTCAAACTCATGGAGCTGCCAGCATGAAACAGGACCTCATTTAGACAATTTGCACTTTTTTTAAGGCAAAAAAGTACACCAACACAAATCCAATAAATCACCATGCTGTGAAATGGTGACACTAAATTCTGCTTTCAAATTAACAAACACCATTTTGAAAAAATTATTCTAAAGTGTTATCAGGTTAAGTGTTTTGATTTCGAATGATTAATTTTTTTGAAGTCATGGAACTCTTCAGAAATAATATGAAAACTTTGCAGTTTTCGGGTAAAAGGACCTGTGAACTTTTTGGTAGAAAGATAATTTTTACTTGTTTTATGGTTTAAATTTTTGGTCGGACAAATGCTGATAATGTTTTGAAAAAACATAACACTGATTAGATTTGATCATAAAGTCAAAGACTGAAAAGAAATAAATGAAAAAAATGTAAGTTTACTTAGGTCTCATTTGGAAACATGATATTACTAACTAGAATTGAACAAGATTTCTATGGTAGGTGTTGTCATTGAGGCAGAATACACTTACCTTCCACAACACCTTGTCTTATATTCATTGTACTTTTAGGGGTCTGTGTGTAAATCTTTGTTTAGATTTTGTCTTTGTTTTATTGAATTTCAGTTGGGATTATAATTCTGTTGACATGTCAGTATTTTCTTAATGTTTAGACATTTGACAGATATTCATAAGGACTTCTTTAGTGTTAAACCAAATTCAGCTTTCTTATTCTGACAGGGTATATGTACTTCCCTTGTCAGAAGTGATGATGACCTTGTAGAGAGTGGAGCCAAGATGTCATATGGTTGGAGCTATTTCCATCGTGAGACAAACGCCCACAGCAACAACTTACGTGACAAATAAATTAGTTTTAGATTTAATTTGAAATCCTACAAAGTATAGAACATAAACTTGCCACTCATACATAAATGTAATGTTACAGGGATTCCTCTACTGTTCTGTATAAAATAATGCTTATGATTGTTTAAATGATAGAATTATCACATATCCTCTGACCTATTTCCTATGTTCACTAAACCACAAATTCTACATCAGAAGTTTCACATGCATTTCTGTTATCTGTGTATTTTGTGGCAATCCTTCTGTGAATTGAATAATACTGTGGTTTATGGTCGGCGTTGTATCATAATGATGCTGTCATATTTGGGGACGTTTCAACAATGGTTGTGGTGTTGAAATAATGGCAGTGTTAAGGAACCTGGTCGGGATGACGCCACATGCCAGAACACATTAGAGAAAGATTAACACCAGTTAAACTAATGAATTTGTATTACTAACAATGATAATCAGCATCAATCAGCCGTTAATGACAAGAAAAAAAATCTCTCGCCTTGGTTGACAAGGATGTAAGTAGACTTTACGAGCCTGTTTAAAGGGTAAACAGAGCAACAGAAAGTGGCTATTTAAAAGACAGTCCCTCATCGACTTGCACATTCAAATGATTAAGGCATCAACTTATGCAAAATAGTGACAGAGACACATCCCGCTCTGTGTGTTGTATGTTACTTTACGGTCTTATTGATGAGATGGAGATGGGAAATATCATCCCCACGGCAAAATTTGATTGATTTCAATAAAATATCTACTTGACTTAATTCATCGCTTGCTTTTCCAGAGCATTTGTCTCGGTAATGTCACAACGCTGTTTGCCCATCACACAGGCAGGATTTGAACTGTGATTTCTGACTGTCAATATAGCCTAATGACGTGCCATTCATCAAATGGGGGGTCAACCTCAACCATGGACAAACGCAGAATGTGTCAGGCCGCTTCAGTTTTGCCTAACGTATTTTCTTGTCTTCAATCACTTGGCGTAAATTGGGTAGCGGATGATATGATTGGTGTTTTGGATTAATTACCCCTGTGTTCCTGTAGGCAGACAAATTATACTTCATCATGTGATATTGTCCAAATCAACAGTAATGGTGCTATGTAACACTAAAAACACAACTGATTGAGAATTCTGACAACTTTTAACCTGCAAATGCCTGTTTTTAGCTTACTGTTAATGATTTCCGGAAAATGATCTTAAAGTTATATAATTCCAGTTCAGTTGTCTTGAATGGCTAGAAGTCTTCAGATTGATTGTATTCCATTTCATGTTGTGTTTTTTTTTATCAAGCAGACGGCACATATCAGTGGTGTATGTAGAGCCATCAGAGTTGGGGACTTTGTGGATCTAACACAGGGAAATTCTCATACATAATTTACTCTTATCCTTGATTAAACTGGTGCCAATGACTTTGACCAAGTTTGAAAGTCACCAGGTAACTATCAGATTAGCACCGGATATCACGTATAGGCCTCGGGATATTTCAAACATCATTTACATAGATTCCGGTACCTAAAATGGAATTTTTAAAACCAAATATTGAATTCTTAGTACCAAGTATTGAATTCCTATTACCAAATATTGAATTCCTATTACCAAATATTGAATTCTCATTACCAAATATCATTGAATAACAATTTTTACAGGGTTAAGAATGAATGAAGAAAGGTGCCCATTATGGATTTTTGTTAATATCAATGACTTTTATGAAACTTGATTTGTAATATATCTATAAATTGATGCGTTATTAATTATTCAACTGATGGAATTCCTTTCTAACCAATATTCTAGGAACTGCTTAATGCAATTTAACAAGGAAAACGTATAAAATGACACTGATGGAATTTTATACTCTGTCATATGACTGCACTATCCATCTCTCTGTAGTATTTATATAGGTACTTAAAACAGGAAGTAATTATATATCATGATATAGCTATAAACAAAATACCTAGCTTCCTGTGTATGATTATTATTCATATTGCTTTGGAGTATGACAAAACTCCAGCTGATATCTAAACTTAATCTTCAAAGAAAGTAGAATTAGCTAAGAGTCAAGAGCCAGTTACTCAAAGAAACTAAATAACAATTATGTCATTTTAAAGGAGATAGATTGAAGGAGCTATAGACAATCCAGGTAAGGAGAGGTATATACTATTAATTACAGTAACGGCCGTGGAGGAGACGGGTAATCACTTAACTATTGCGATGTGATCTTTGTTTTTTTCGAATACCACAGATTTGTTCTCGTTTGTGTTTCTTGTGATACAAGCTTTACGGTGTTGAGTGTTGAAAATGCTGACATTCGTCATCTTGTTCTTGTTTCCATCGCCTGGCTCCTAATTACATTTTATAATCAAGAGCCGATGTGAATGCTCACATTTTGACGTAAAATGTTATATTTTTTCACAGAAGGTTTCAGACATGTAACATTCCTATAATGGGTTTCTGGTGCCTCTTGATAATATAATATCTTTAATTCAAAATCACACAAATTGCCACAGAAATGCCTATTTGAAATAGAAATCCTATCTTATCATATATAATTATGCCCATATTTCTGTGGTTTTCACCTGTGTTGGTATAGATGGTGAGGTTTATGTATTGCAGTAGCAGACTTTAATGGCACCGGTGTTTACAAGGTTTAATTTTAATCAACAGCAACACACTTGACTTCATCAAGAATTATTGTTTTCCTTATTTTGAATTTGCTTATTTGGTCCAGAAATTTTAATGTCATTATGTCAGAACTTAGCATACCATCTGTTTATACAACTCTACCCTTCACTTTGGTTAATTAAATTCTGATGGAGAAAATACTAGGTTGAATATAAATACTTCAAAAAATGGTTAACACTTAAAGAGAGTTCTCACCGGGGCCTAGAATCAACATTTTTTAGAATTTTTTTGCCATTTAAAAATGTAAGAGAAATTCTTACATTACCAGAAAAATGTAAAAAGGTTACTGAAAAAAGATTTTGTCTGTAGAAAATATTATGAAACAGGTAGTAATGGTCATGTTGTAAGATTTTGAGTAAAGACTTAATAAGTGGATGACTGGTGTATTGTACTCTTGTAGACGAAAGAGAGACTTTGTCACCCATCAGTGGGGGACGTCTGTGTGGAAGTGTTTCATTCAAATTTGGTCTCACATTGGATTCTAACTGTCTGCTACATACAGAGGAACGGGTATGAAGAGCTGTAATATGCTGGTGTAAGTAACCATATATGGTGTTGAGCATGCCTATACCTAGAATGGACCACTACTCCCTGGGGCCCACCCAGTGACAATACCACACCTTAATTGGGAAATAATTTGCTACCCTATGCTGTGGGCTCATCAATTATGTAACTGTGTAGAGATTGTCACCTTAATTAGATTGACCTGTGTCAGCTAAACATTGGAAATTTACACCAGAACAATCACAAATTTCTACGACAACAATCATGGTCTCCGAAGGCATCACTTCTGTCACTGATACAACCATTCAATCTGCAGGGAGTGGAGAGCTGTCAATGGAACAGCCATTCAATCTGAAAGGGGTGGAAAACCGTCATTACAACAGCAATTCAACCTGCAGAGGTGACAAGCTGTCAGTAGAAAATTTCTATGTGAGAGGTTCTGGCCCCTGTAGAAAATTAGTTTGATATTTCTTATCTTACATGTACAGAAATACTTATATTTTTTGTTGAAGCTAAAAACCTTTCTCAGCCTTTTTGTTAAATCCACATAATTTTGGAATTCTGTAATAGTGTGTAACATTATTGGAGGTGACTTGTAAACACCGTCTTTCTTAGACACATGCACCCTTTCCAGGGAAAAAGAACTGAATTCTGCAAAATTTAAATGTTATCATTAATTTTGTTAACATTTTAGGAGGTACAGAATGAGATAAAAACTATACTGCTGTAGCTGTGTTTCCTTACAATAAAAAGACCAATACATAAATAATATGACGACTTATTGCCTACTGAAGAGTTAATGATAAAGTGAGAGTTGCTAGTGAAGTCGAGCTATGGAGGTATAGGTACATGTGTTAGGGAGGTAAATCACTTTGGCAGCCCCATCATAACAGGGCAACTTGACTACAAAGCCAGAGGTAGGGTTCACTGATAACCAATCCTCACCGTCCTCTATAGTCTCCGGCTACTCTATGTGTTTTACAGTCACTCATTTTTCACAAAGGATTCAAGTATAGGTTTTGGGGTTGTCAGCAGGCAGAGTATCCCAACTAATGAGAGTGCTGGCTGATTTGGAATGACAGTAATTGGTTGGACTATCTTACTGTGAAAGTATTAGGAGGAATGCATCCAACATTTGGGGAATGTATCACATTTGTGGGACTGTTACTCCCAATTTGCTGGGGACATTCCTTGCGCGTTAAGACTTGTTTTTGTTCACACCGCCTGCCTCCCAAGCAATACACTATACATCATTTTTCCTTCCATCATATTCTCATCATCCTTGTGATTGTCAGTAAATGTCCAAGGCTACTGTTAAGTCTGTGTACATCGTTTCTCTGGCTCCTCTCAAGCCTCAAACCTGCAGGATACCAACACTCTATCTTCACATACGAAAATGTCTTTTTCGTTAACATTTTGTTTGCACTTTTTCTTGTTGATTGTTTTTGTTCTGATGCACTTTCTCACTAAAACAAAGCTGAAAAGACATTTGGCTTATCAACCACTTAAAAAGCATTTTTACCTCCAGTTCCCTGTCACTATACTGTAATTTTCAGCTAATGATATAAATAGGCTTTTCATCAGGTGACTATGATGATGATGCTAAAATGTATGGAAGTTTTGACAGTGTGGTGCTTCCCACAATGCCTTGTAATTAATGGCTTCTTCAGCTGAACCCCTACGGCTTGTTGAGTTGAGCCAAGACAATAAGTGGAACTCCCCCATCATCACCATGACATTACTACACAGCACTGTCAATATAAAAACACAAACCCTTCGCTGTCAGGTACCATGTCAAGGACCTGAACAGGCTTCCGAGTGTCGTCAAACCTTCCAAAGTTACTGCATGTGTTTTTTATCATGACACACAGGCTTGTTTATACAAGTACCCGGGTCAGGAAAAACTCTTGACACAAACCCCTAAACCCTGTTGTAGTATTTTGTCAAAAGACTAAATAGGTTGTGGTAACGGAAGCATTCATGGTTGTGCAATTAAGCGCCAAGTGACATGGTGCACTGTCGTAACAGGAAGTCTTCACTACACACATCTCGCGTCACTTGAACGTGATTAACCATCTGATGAATCGTTTTGAGTTGTTGGTAAATTCACTTCTAGGATGTTCTTGCCATAAAAATGTGGAAATGATTCAGAAATAAGGACTGAATCGAGAAGGTTTTCTGTCATGCCTATTAATTTCAAATTCAATTTTATTGATACTACATACAGTGTTGACTTGAAAAACCACTAATATCAATTAAATGTATACCATTCATTTAATTGAATCTGCATTAAAGCTTAATAACTTGAAAAATCATTTGAAATAAACATTACAATAACAAAAAGTTACATCTACAGTAAACTAACTTTATTTTGTTTTTGACATTTATGCAAATTTATTGAATGAAAAAATTCTGAAAAGTTAATCTTTATGAATTAGGATTTGGATAGTTATCATCACAAACTTGTTGTGATGTGCAAATGACATTAGTTTGTTATCATAAACTTGTGACATGGAAATCACAAAAATCCATCACAAACTTGTGATACGGAAGTAACAAAAATTTGTCATCACAATCTTGTTTATATACAGAAATGTAGAGTCAATGTTGTGTAGTACAGTCAATGTTGTGTAGTACAGTCAGTGTTGTGTAGTACAGTCAATGTTGTGTAGTACAGTCAAAGTTGTGTAGTACAGTCAGTGTTGTGTAGTACAGTCAGTGTTGTGTAGTACAGTCATTGTTGTGTAGTACAGTCAAAGTTGTGTAGTACAATCAGTATTGTGTAGTACAGTCATTGTTGTGTATTACAGTCAGTGTTGTGTAGTTCAGTCAGTGTTGTGTAGTACAGTCAGTGTTGTGTAGTACAGTCAATGTTGTGTAGTACAGTCAGTGTTGTGTAGTACAGTCAGTGTTGTGTAGTTCAGTCAGTGTTGTGAAGTACAGTCAGTATTATGTAATACACTTGGTGGTACTATAGTACACTTAGCGGTATCATAGTACACTTAGCAGTATATAATACAGTTTTTGGTGTTTAGTGTAGATAATATCTAGTAAGTACAGTTTATGACATATAGCACAATTAGCAGTGTTTAGTACATTTGATGGCGTTTCTTTGTTTCCTTTCTTTTAGTTAATTTGATTTTCAGTTTTGACATCAGGACCAGATTTTGTCCTTTTTGTACTGACAACATAGTACCCATTTTATTTCTATTCTTCTTTCCAAGTTTATTGTTGATGTATATTGCTTACTGTCAAAGTGATAATGTTAGAAACTGTCTTAAACGATAGATAATGCAGTTAGTACTCACAGGTTTATTAGTGCAGACCTGGTCTTTTATTTCCAGAATCATAAAACTGACTTTGTAGTGTCTAAAACTTGGCACAGCTTTCATGGTGTTTTGTACAGGAGAAATTTAATCTGTTTTTCTCAACATCACAGGCTCAAAATCGTCAGCACAGTGAAATTTGTAGGTGTAAGAGGTGCTACAGCCTGGAGAGGCTTTAAGACGAGATTCAGTGGGCTACACCTGTCGCTCAGCGCGGCACTGATCTGGCCAGGATAGGACAAAATGATAATTATTATGAAAACATTTTACACCATGATGCCACATGGGTTTAGCCAGTGTTGGTTAGAAGTGGTTCATCTTCAAGCAAGACCCAAATTAGGATTGACAGAGCTAGCAGGTGATGGTCGGTGATACATATGGAGCTTGTCTCTTCGCCATCTGGTTTCCGGGGTACTGTGGCTTCTATTCCTCCTCATCCAGCTCACACTCCATCCGATTCAGGCTCTTGCTTCCAATTATGATGGCTACTCAAGGTTTTGTTTACAAAACATCAAAGCAGAGTTATCTGCCTTGACATGGGTTAATCAGTCACTGGCAACACCCAAGTTATGAGGGGTAACTTTACAGAAAATTTATTTGCTTACAGTTTGTCTAAAGTAAAGTCATCTGACATATGAATTTTATCTATACCAGATTAGCATGATAATGAGGCTGCTGTCCAATATAGTCATTAAGGTCTGATTTATGTTCTTTGAGCTTCTGAACTCTCCCCTTCATTCATTCCTACTCCTCACAGGGTCAGAGGTCAAACCTCAATCAGCCAAAGCACCTGTCAATCACATGTACCTTACTCTTGATCATTAAAGTTAGCCATTATTCAGAAGTGCCTGTATACAATATATCAATATCATCAAGTGTTAAATTAAGTATTTTCTGTACCTAATTTTCACTCAAAAATACTGGTAAATGCTTGTTTTCCACTGACCGAAAAGAAATGCTGTTACAATGGAATCTGTCTTAACCTTTTGGACCAAACAATTTGGCCAGTTTGTAGAGAATTCCGGATTGTAGAGAGTCCATTGTTATAGTATTGGTGGAATAGGGACTTAATTATTTTATTGGATTAGGCAGATATCTGGATTGCAAAGAGTCCAGTTTAGACAGAGCCCGCTGTCATGGTTAGAGTTAAAGTCACTTACAGTATAACTGTAGTAGCAGATTTTAGACATAGTTAATTGTAGTTGCAGGTTTAGTGAATTGTAGTCATAGGTTTGATCCCCTGTGAACATTCAGACAGATATTCTTGCTACTGTTTATCTGGTACATAATGTGTGGGTCTGCTGTGGACTCTAGCAGATGTTGGATGTCCTAATAGTATGTAAATGTTTTTTTCTGTATAATACTGACATGGAGTTGTGTGTAAGTTTATCAAGATAGTTACAAATCATAACACTTCTGTTTGACAAGAAGGTCCGTCAGAACAAAAATATGAGTTACTGCAATGGCAATTTTTTCTAATTAATTGCTCTAGTGGTGTGAGAGAATGTTAGGGCGGTCATGTTTCTCACAAAGATGTCTTGTTGTTTGGCTAGGGCCGACCATGTGACATTTCCCAGCCCGGCCTTGTGCACCAACAAGATAAGCAGAGATAGGGAGGAAGCACGGATCAGTGCAGTGTCATCTTTATCATAGGAGCATGTCCGCATCAATGCCGTGTCTGTTGTCTGTCGAACTGCGGCCCCTTCCTCCCATTGTAATCCTTGCACAATGTCGACGGGCTACAAAGGTCAAAGTTACAGCAAGGGTTATCTCCTCCTGAATGAGTTCTATTCATGGCTAGAGATGTCGGGGAAACATACTTTTTTAAGTCACAAAGAATCATTAATGTGTTACAGTGGTAGCTTTATCTAAATCTGTCAAGAGCTGCGCTGACACAGAACGGTGTGCCTTGCTGGGATTACGGGGCCTGTGCTTGATTTGGGAGGCTGTCACAGAGTTCAGCTTGTGTATCTATGTTGTTAGAGCTAATACTGCCACCACACCACCGGTGGAAAATGATTTGATTTGAAAGTCGTCTTCCATTATTTGGGGCTGAATTGTGTTATTGAGTTAAGTAATCACAGACTAGACAGAACCAAGTGTTCAGGACAAGCGATCATCGCGCATGCCGTTATTTTCGTTGACCCGTTAATAGGTGCAGGGCAGGTACTCAATAACGGATCATCCTTGCTTGTTACAGACAGGGCGGTGATTAATGCTATGTACCACCGTCATACGACAAACGTAAAAGCATGTAAACGGATACTACGGTCATGTTAAGTGATTTCTAGCTGTTACAGACAAATAAATTGTGATTTACTTACAAGCTGTTTTGGTGATAATAAAAATGTCATGCCCCTGTTCATTTGATGCTTCTTTTTTTCCTTTTTATCGTTTAAGTTGTAATTTGAAAAAGAAAAAAAAAAAATTAAAACAAAATTGTAAACGAAAAACTTTTCTTATCATTCTCAGAGTAAAGAAGTGTAAGAAACTAAGTCATCTTTGTTTGATAGACCTTGAGTTGTTCCGGGCCATTTGTTTAACCAAACACTGAGATATATAAGGTATAGGTATTAGCATTAGAGATTTCCAAATTTTACCACTCAAGTTGTCCCAAGTGTCACAAATTTCAATTCATTCTGAGATATACTGCATCAGCGCATCAGAAAATATCTGCTGTCATACTATCAGTGTATTTTTGCTGATTTGTTCTGATGATGATAAAGCTGTGAGAAAACGGACTCTAGAAGCTAAGAGCATTTCATTCATGCCAAGCCACATGGCAGGGTATTGGTAGAATTTATATGTGTGTATGCATGTATGCACCCATCGCACGTGCAACACACACACAGGATGTCTGATTCTGACAAAAACGTGCCCCTCCCATGACATCTCCACAAAGTCAAGGATACTATAAAAGATTTATCACTTAAGTCCATATATTACAAAATGAAATACCATGTCAAAGTCACAGATTTGTGGCTAAAGAGAAAAGTTTTAGGCAATTAGAAATGTTTTCTTGAAAGACTCTTTCTAGGAGGACCTGAGCTGACATGCATTGGAGCGTGAAGATAAAAATAGCATCACTACCCAAGGAAAGAGCCATCTTCATATCTGTACACAAGACTTGAGGGTCAGGTTTCAGGAGGCAGGGGTATCAGCTAGCAGACCGTTTGATCTTTAGTCTCCCCACCACCACCACCATTGACTTTTGTCATGCTGGGGAGGTCATTAGACCCACAAATGGCTTTACCAGATTTCAAAAGTCTATAAATAAACGCAGAACACTTCCTGTCACCGTGAACACATTCAAACCCTCTACACATACCTTTCTATTAAACCATACTCCTACTGATATTAATACTGAGTGAATTTAACTTCATGGAACAATTCTTTGGAGGGGGGAAGGTTGAAAGCACAACTTCTGTGATTTTTATCAGAAACCTAAATATGTCATCAAAAGACAATTTTTTCTTTTATAAAAAAAACTCTTTCTTGTAGGTATCTAAGATTTCAATGACTTAACCTTTTAATCTTGGTCTTCACGGATTATTGAGACAGCTAGAGATCTGAAATAAACTGATCCTGGTTATCTGTTATTGTTTAGTAACCAATTAGATTTGACTTCATTAGTGGTACACAGAGAGTGGAACAATACTGTAATTGACAAATGTTGACCAGATGGAATCAAATTTGACCAGATTACAGCAAGAGTCAGTGGGATTAAACCAATAGCTTAATATATTATCTTAAAATGCTTTGACTAAATCTGAATGGGAGTGTGTTGGTGATTGGTGAGTGTCTATGAGGGATGACCTTTGATTGGCTGGCGTTTGTGAAGTCTGTCAGTGATTTGGAGGATGTACTGTAAAGGGTGACGATGATTGGGGAGAGGGTGATTGTGTTTGGTCCGTGGGTCCTTGTAGGGCACCATCACCACTTGATTGTGGTAGAGCACATCTGGAATTGGTCACCCTGTCTGTCTCATTACAGCCAACACATGTGTCTTCTATAATGAGCTTGCCACACAAAATACACATCATATGGAGGAAGTGAAAATGAGTGGAGCGTGCCATATGGACATGTGTGTCCGATGTAAGTTTCTGCTCTGGTTAGGAGGAAGAAAGTGTCCTGATCTCTTGTCATATTGTAATATTGAGGTGCCCTGAATATCTTGGAAGGAGGTAGAATGTATACTGATCTCCAATCCTGTCACGATATTGTGGTGTCTTGGTTATCAGAAGAATAAAGATGTAGAAATTGTTTTATCCCTGGTCCTAAAACAATGTTAGGGTGTATTCAGAATTGGAAAGTCCTATAATCTTAATCTGGTACACAGATATGTCCTGAAATATGTTTTTAGTTCACTGAAAACTACATATATCCTGGAATTTGTTTCTCATACAAAGAAATCTTCCTTAAATCTTATTCTGGTACACTGAAGTAGATGTGCCCATAAGTGATGCTAAAATATCATTTTTGTAAGAAATAAGAAATATTTGTTCTGACATGTTTCTGTACACTGAAGAAGGTCCTTTTTCCCTTGCCATTAGTTTACCTGAGTATCAGGATCACAGTGGGGGATAGGAAGTAGATTTTACGTTTGTGGGGTCAAGTTGTACTGACATATACCTCTAATGTGTTTTTGAACCTGTCCATCTGTATTAGATTTTTCCTCTGGTGAGCTCAGTTGGACTGACCAGTACCTGCAACTATTCCAAAAACTGGACCAATATTGGAGAACCTGTGTAGAACACAATCTGATTCAAAAACCAAATTTAATAAAACTGTACAAAAAGAAAAGTTACCTAGCAGAAAAACTGATTGATTGCTTAAGTTTTTATCATTTTTTTTAACATTTTTACATCAGAAGTATGAGTTTAGATATACATCACACTGAGGTAGTAAGCCTGTTTACATAAAAGCTTAACCTCTACAATTCCATCCCTTGACCATCTCAACAGTAGAAATGTTGACATAGATTTGTCCTTATCACAGTCCCAGTGGGAGTCAGTTGGATCCCCCTTGCCACAATCGCCCCCTGGTCCCCAACACCCTTTACTCCCCATGGATACTCATCTCAGGGGTCATCAGTAATTTATGGCATTCATTAGTCACTGATTGAGATATCTAAATGAGAGGACTGTCCAACTGGTCATTTCTATCTTGACATTGGAGGTAAATGACCTCTACAGGATTTAAATTCACACATGTTGATGGAAAACTTCACAAAATCAGCTGATACTTACTAGATCTTTCAGTACACTTACAAGGTCAGTATAATTTAATATCTGTTATTTTCTGTCTCAGTTTCAAAGGTTTGACATGGCTTGTCTTATAGTTTTAGTTTCTTGTATTGATACTGTTGCATGTGATGAATAGTAAACCCATTATTTTATGACTTATCTTCAAAAATGTTTTAATTGGATATAATTTTAATGTTGATTGATTAATTCCACAAAGAATGAAAAATGAAAGTCAGTATTCATCATATTAGCCAGGAAAATTAATTGAAGTTACTGGCCTTTTAATAACGTTTACATTTGTTTAGTGAATGCATCATTGAGTTTTGTCAGAGTTTATAAAGAAAAGGTGTTCCCAGCCTCCATTGTGCGTTTGTAAATAATGGTTTGTGTCGAGAAGCTGAGATGCATGTAAAAGGCATTTAGGTAAAGCATTATGCTGAAGTGTTTCTGGATCATTAGCTTCATAAAGATCAGGCAATAAGGACTGCTCATTACCAGATCAAACTAGCCATCACAAAATAGTCTCTCACCTGGTCATCCGGGCAGTCTCACCATGGTAACCAGGAACTCAGTGATTTGGAAACTTGTTATGATGTGTTTTTGATTTTCTATTGATAAAGAGTCCTCGGGAAATACATGGTTTTGTTTCCTTATGTTCAACTTGTTGGAGTTGAAATTTTTGGTAGTCATATAAGGAGAGGATTGGCTATCGTTATTTAGAAGAATTTATTCATAGCTGTGTACAGTTTATGATGTTAAATTGAAAAATATTCTCCATCTCGTTTCTAAACTTATGAATTTACTGGAATTGTAGCTAAAAATTTTCCCCTGCATCATAAATATTACTATAGAAGTGTGTGCCTTTTTGAGTGGTTCTGAATATTTTCTTTTTCTGTAATGATGAGATTTCAAATGTTGATCGCTTCACTTAAAAGCAAAGTTTGTTTAAGAAATTTGTGTGCCAACATTTGGCAGTGGGAACCACTTGTGAAGGTTAACAAAACAGTAGCTTGGTACTCAGTCAAATTTCCTTGGCCACATTGTCAATGTAAGTGTAAACATTTGTCTTCAAACATTTGGGAGGAAGTTGGAACTTTTAAAAAAAATTAGAGAAATAACGTAACAGAGAAACAGATGCAGCATGTGCACATGTCGAGGAAGTTTCACATAGACAGCAGGTATGTTGTGTGATAGCTTGATGCTCCTTCTCTTGAAGTTTTGTGAACTTTCAGTGCTTCGAAAAGATTTGACAGAAGGCTGTAATGTACTGTGAAGACACATACCAGCTAAAATGGCCAAGAAAGATAAAAAAAAAAAGTTAACGTTTCTGTCTTTTGACTGTGTGGGAAAATGAGATATGTGTAAAACTTGTCCAGTATTTTCGCCAGAAATTTGTAGAGATACTCTACAACTGTATAAATTTCTTTAGAATACAATATTCTATAGCACAATATAAAAACTTCCTGTGTCCACCATACTGTACCTAAGACCTTTTCTAATTATAAACCAGTTCTAAAGTATTCAAATTTACATTTTTAAAGAAAACCTTTTACTTGTGTAGATTATTGTTATTATTATTTTTATTTTGATAGGGTCATGATTTCAGATTTCTTTCCAAAACTTTTCCATTTTTGTTTTGGATTAGTTTTACCCAAAAGTAAGTGTTGGGTTTGGAGTGGGTCTGGAGGGGGCTGTTGCTGGGCAATTGACGCCTGCTGTCCACAGGCAGGAGAAGGTGGGCCTGTCAAGGCCAGCATGCCAGCACACACACAGACCCCTCCTCAGTGAGGGAGTCGCCTGTGCCTGCCCCTCTGACTTGTGTGTTTCTGAACTGTAATCATGGGCTTGGCACACGACCAACTGTCTACAGGAAGCTTCCAGCACACATAGAGATAGATAACTGTTTATATGGCTTCTCCATCTTTGTCACGGTGACTGGGGAAGCGGCAGAAATCTACACTCCCCAATACCATGGCTGCCCCATCAAGCAGAGAGCTGTAAATATTGGTGTAGAACTCACTGTTTGTACAGTGAAGATATAATTATTATGCCGGAATGACATATCATAGGGTCTTAATCAATATTTGTCATTGGCCTAATGTCACAAAATAACAT